ATATATATATATATATATATATGTTATAAAGTGGTGAAAACGCACATGCACTTTGAGAGGAGCTTATTGTGGAGCTTTAGGCTTCGACACCTAGCTAAAGAAATAGTTGGCTTTTTTTTTTTTCGGTACATTAGAATGTTAGACGTTGAGCATCACAAAGGTTCGAATCTTTTACCTTGACCTCAAATCAAATTTTTTATATTAGTGGGTATTAATTTAGTCAAACTTTTGTTAGTGAAATATATTGTTGATTTTATTTTATGGGGTTAATGTTTATCCGTCTTACATCTCAAAAATTAAGAGAAAAAAAGATAAAAATCACCTTAATGCATGTTTTAAAAATAAGGTAGTTTAGTCTTTTTCAATAAAAAGTTATTGAAACAACGTAGTTTTAAGATGATTTTTCTCCTAATCTTTAAGAGGTAAGGCTAACAGGAATTTTTTCCTTATTTTATTGTTATTTTCCCTTTATGAAAAAACCATAAATAAAGAAGTTGTAGTTATGATCTACTTACATATAACTCTTACACACTATATTTATATAAAATCTTAATCATTTATCTCTTAATTTTCAATAGTTGAGATTTATTTATTTTTTTATCATATTTATTAAAAAAATTATCTTTTTCATCAAAAAATTTGTGATAAATATTAAACATTTTGAAAGTAGAGAGATAAATAATTAACATTATGTGTAAGTATAATGTATAAAATTTATGTATAAATTAACCCCTACTAAAAAAGCCAAAGTCATTTAATTGAGAAAGCTAAAAAGTTATAGTTGACCTAAATTGTGATGAATTCAAATCTCCATAACTTTGCCGTACCATACCATAGCATACATATTCTGATAAAATTGAATAAAATAATTAGTTATATTATTTTTCCTTACCATGTTTTTTAAAAATTTAAGGAAAGAGTTCCATATTAATATATTTTTATTATTTAATTGGTTTTTTTACTTAAAAATATATGTGAATTAATAGATAATTCATTTTATACCATATTTTACTATGCAAAATAGTGAAAATAATACATTTATTTTTCTATTTTCAGTGATTATTGAAATAAACTTTTTATATTTTGTTTTAAAATAAATCTCCCATCATACTTTTAGGTTGAATGAAATTAGTCATTTTACATTTTAGTTAAAATAAATTAGCTAAATTATAATAAATAATGTAATTATACGTCATCTTTTCGTTTTTCTATTTCAATACATGTTAAAATCTTGTTGATTTGATAATCTTTGGCCTATTTTTATGATATGGGATTTTCTTTACAAGTAGGCCAATGAGATTAGTTAACTCCTTTATAACCAACTTGATATTAAGAAAAGAAAATGCCTTGTCATTAGAAAAATAGGCCCAAAGTTGAAAAATAAGCAAAAGTTTAACAACTTTAACGATTGCATCCACTAGTAAGTAAATATCGTCTTGTAAGTCAAGTTTAAGTTCAAGTCTTAGGGTCAACACTCAATGAAAATTAATTTCATGAATGCACTAAGCTAATGTGAGGGGTGCACTTTTAAAATTGCTTGAGGAGTGATTGGTTTCGAGGAGTGCGAGAGTTGGAATAGAGAGACCCTAAATACAAATACCAAAAAAAAAAAAAAAAATTAACAGGTATTGAAGGAGAAAGTCAAAATAATGACTTATGATTATGTTATTTGTACAATTTTGACTAATTTATTTCAATTGAAATATAAAAAGGCTAATTTCATTCGACTTGAAGCTATAAAGGCAAATTTATTTGAGAAAAGAAAGAGTATTTATTTTAATAATCATTGAAATCGAGATATAAATATGCCATTTTCGCTTACAAAACATTATAAAAATATTGTAATTAGTTTCATTAGAATTTTAGTACCAATCAAACATAAATAGGATAATTTTTTTGAAAATTAACATATAGGATGGTATTGTGAAAAATCAAGATATTTTGGTAATTAAATGTCAAAACTTTTTATAAAATTATTTAAATACTTTTAATGAATTAACATATAAAAAAGATTTATTAAAAATATTTAAATAATTTTATAAAAAATTTTAACATTTAAAATATTAAGATGCTTTAATTTTCACTTTCATACATATAGAATAATAGGACAAGTGATTGGAAACATGACATCACATCAATAATAATTACACATGCATGTCATTGTAGCCAAGAAAATGAAAATTAAACTTGTATTTGTTAACAATACAATAATCTAAAAGATCAAGAAAAATTTCAAGGAACCTTAAATGCAAGAGAAGCCAAGCTTGATTTTCTTTAGCTTTCGTTTTAACGCAATCAAGTGATGATTGAGCTATCTGGTGGTTGAATGTTGGAAGGAAGTGAACTCCAAAGTTCAAATTAAATTTGATATAATTAAAGGAGAGATACTAAACTGGTTTATGGAAATAGTAGAATTTTATCTAAAACTTCCAAGAAATCAAAAGAAATGTTTTTTTTTTTTAATAAAAGAAAAATGTTCTATTAATTGAAAAGAGATTACACATAAATCTCCATATAAAGGCACATAAAAACAAGTTGAAGTTATAATCTATAGTACTAAATATAGATGAAAACTATGCTCATAACGAATTGACAATTAAGTAAGAAAACTACCTACACTTAGAGATTGCCTCAGCAATTGCTACAGTAACATGTACAATACAACAAAAGTAGAAGGAAGGCCTTGGTGTGCATTCGTAGTGTTAGACTTTTTCAATTGCCACATCAAGTTTGAGGAGAGTAGGTAATTTGGCAAACAACATTCCTTACCCAACTAATGCTAAATAGGCATCCGCACTAACTTGGAGGAAAGTTGGAGTCTCCTTTAGAGGCCACCTAGGTCATGCTTGAATTAACCCAGAGGAGAGTCACCACCACGCTATTGTCCTTTTCAACTCAGGGCAAAACCCAATGAAAACTCAATGTGAAAGCCTAAGCAAAATTCCCCACAAAAAAAAAAAAAAAAGGATGAAACACCCACAAAGGAGAGAGAACCCTTATAGAGGAGAAACTCCCACTTTTATTCATCCTCCCTAACCAATAAAAGGGAGAGAGGCAATAGCTAGGGAGAAAAGAAAAAAAGAAGAAGAGAAGGCAGTAGCTATGAGTAAAAGAAAGAGAGAGGTGCTAGGGTTCTTTTTTATTATGATTATTGGGGTTTAATCGAGAGAAATGTCAGTGATACTTACACTTTATTTTTAATACTTTGTGTGACTTGTCTGCATGTATTTGAAGTTCATTTTTTGTTTTATTGGTCCATATGTTAGATAATGCTAAAATTAAACAATTTAACCTGCTACATAAACTAATGATGAAGAAACATTTGTTACAAGGATTAATATATAATGACAATAATATATTTATAATGTGAATAGAATTGTAAATTTATAATTATGACATATTATTAAATTAATAGATACATGCAATATTATGGGTGGTTCTCCAAATAAAAAAGTCAAATCATATATTAACAAGCCATGATTATAATCACAAATATATCATTTCTAATTGCATAACTAGTGTTGCAAGAAAAGTGCAAAAAAGAATATTGCGAACTAACAATCCCTATTAAAGAATTTCAAATCAATTAATAGTTGTTTTATACAGAAGAATAATATCTAGCGCCTTATATGGTGAGGATGAGAAGGTGTGGATAGAAGAAGTTTTGCAACATATTGTTGAACTGATTCCCCAGGATAAACCTTAGATGCATAATAATATAGTTTCTAGGATAATAGGTGTATTAGATGTATGGAACTTACGAGCCGTGTCTTCCTACTACATTTATTTCTTTTTTAATTGAATGAAATGAGATATTTCATATCATATATCTATATATATAGGAGAGATCCATTCACATATAACTCTTAAACACCATATTGACACGAAATCTCAAGCACTCATCTTTTTACTTTTAATAATTGAGATTTGCCATGACTTTTTAAATGAAAAAGATAATAATCTTTAATAAATGTGAATAAATCTCAAAAATTGAAAGTGAAGAAATTAATGGTTGACATTTTGTGTAAGTGTAGTATATAAAATTTGTGTGTAAGTGGATCTTTACTCATATAGAACAAGGAATCCATTCACATATGAGCCTTAAACATTACATTTACACAAAGTTCCAACCATTCATCTCTCCACCACTACTAAAAAAAAAGGCTATTTTCCAATGCATTTTGCACTAGAAAATACTCAAAATGCACTAAAAAATTCTTATTTTCCAGTGTTGTGTGTTGGAAAATATTGATGAAAAAAAAACTTACACCAAATAGTTATTTTTTAACGCAAGAAAATGTGTTGGAAAAACTTAGTAGTGCTGGAAAATAATGGTTAATGGCAGGTGTCATAACCCGATTTTGCATTCAATTTATTTAAACTTTTCGTATATAAAAAAAAATATGTCACAAAATTAATAAAAAAAAATCATAAAATATAAAAATATAAAAATTTCTCTTTCCTTTAACTGATATATCTTCATTTTTCTTTCAGGTGCTACATGCAAAAAGAGGAAACTCAAGAAGAAAATGAAGAAAGGAAACTCGAGAAAGGACTCAGTTGAAGGAATCAAAAGTTTGAGGGTGAAATTCATCAAATTTGCAAACCCAACACCAACCCATTTCAATTGAGCCCACTAAAAAACCCAATTACCCAAAACCCAAATACCAAACCCAAAACCCAAAAAAAAAAAAAAAAAAAAAATAAAAAATGCCAAGGTCTCCAGAATCTTCTTCCTCACTATGCCTGCTCCACGCCCCCTTTGCTCACCCGAACCTAGCCCAGATCCTCTGCACGAATCACCTTCCTGCGCCCCCTACCGCCGACGCCTGCTTGCTGCACCTACGCCCGAGCCTTGCGCCTACGCCCCTGCTCCCTCCTTTGCGTCGAGCCCAGATCCTCTGCGCGAACCAGCGCCCCCTAGTTCCTGCGCCCCTAGCTCCTACGCCTGGCCTTGCTTTCTGCACCAGCCTTGCTTTGCACCAGATCCCCTTGCTTTGCACCAGATCGCCTGCACTCTGCTACGCTTGTGCCCCTGCTGCACCACTGCTTGCCCTGCTGCACCCCAGCCTGCACTCTGTCGCGCCTCCTGCACTCTGCGCCCAATCCCATGCCCCTGCCTCTTGCACGCTACAACCATACAGAAAAAAACAGCATATGCCAGACAAACTGACGGAGCAAATTTTATTTTATCTTATTTTGGGTATATATATAGGAAAAAAATCAGATCAAAAGGGGGTCTCTGGTTGGATTTTGGGTCTGTTTTTTTTGGGAGTCTTCCTGTTCGGTTTTTCTTTGTCGATTCTCGGGTTTGATATTTGGAAGTCTTCGTCTGGGGGTTCTGAAATCCAGAAAGAGGGTTTCGGTTTTGAGAAGCGACGGTTAAGAGAAGAGGAACGTCGTACTTCCGGAGGGGTGACTGGTTGGGGTTTCCAGAAAAGCTCTATTTTTCTGGGTTTCATCTTCGTAGGTATTTTCTTGCAACAGAGGAGTTTTTTGGGAGGCAGTGAGGGGAATGATCTGGGCTTGATCTCGTGGGTGGGATTCCCCAGATCGGACTCCGATCTGTTACCCAGAAAGCTCCACCATGCTTGTTTCGTTTGACTTCTGTTCCGTGATTTGCTTTTATGATGTTTAAGTTTGTATGTGTTTACTGAAAATCAATGAAAATAAAAGAAATATCCAGTTTATTTTCCTGATGAATATTGTTTATCTTTTTGTTGGAAATGAGACGCAGTTGAAATGAACCTTAAATTTCATTTTTTTGTTGCTGTCCATGATTCTATTTGTCTTGTTTGATCTGTTTTTGCGTATTTTGGTGAATGGTTTCGTGTTTCTGGGCCAAGTTGACCCGATCCAAACTAAAAAAAAATGTGTGAATAAAATGATTAATTGATTATGGTAATTAGTTTAATGTGTGATTAATGAAATTAATTAATTTTAATTAAAGTAAATTAATTATGTTTATTGGTTTTAATTTGAGATAATTAGATTCATTTAATTGTTTTAATTAAAGATTAATGAATATGGTTAATTAATTTTAATTAATTTTAATTAATGTTAAATTAATTATTTAATTAAATTGATTATTATGATTAATTGACTTTTAATTCTTTATTTTACTCATTCTTTCAAAAGGTCAAAATTATCTCCTTTTATTTCAGTTTCACTGGAAAAATTTTATGATTAAGCAATTCAGTCTCAAGGTTTCGAATCTTTTTAAATCAGTCTTGCATGTTTTTGAGTTTAATCAAATTAGTCCTTTTAATTTTTATTTGTGCTTATGAGGCATGCATGTCTTTGATTTTATCCATTTTAGTCCAAAAAATTTCATGTTTAAGCACTTTAGTCCAAAAGTTTCAAACCTTTTCAAATCAGTCCTCTATTTTTATTTTAATCAAATCAGTCCATTTAATTTTTATTTGTGTTTATTGTGCAAACATATCTTTTATTCTATCCATTTTAGTCTAAAAATTAAAAAATGTTTCAATTTGGTTTATCCTTTTTTAAGTTTTCCTTATTAAGACTTAAACATAAAGATAATGAATAAGTTGAATTAAAACCCCAATGTTAAAGTATGCAACCGTGTTTAAACGGAGAATTGTGAGGTGTGCGTATGCCATTCCTCACTCCTAAACGAACCTCGATCTTTGTGTAGACTCATTTTAGGTGACTTGTCATGCCTTATAATTTGGACGAGTGACGACTCCCTTTTCTTTTATATTTTTTACACTTAATAATAAAAATAAACATTTCATTATTTTGAAATCTTGAGTGGTCGTCAACAGCAAGCCAATAATGTGTTTTAAGTTGCCATTATCACTTATTTTTAAACGTTCAATATTGGAAAATAATTGATATTTTAGAGGGGATAGCCATTGATACTTTTGAGAGATAGCCATATCCAGAAAATTAAAAAAAAAATATTTTTACATTACTATAATTATATCCAATTAGTAAATATTTGCAAATATAAAATAATATTTAATATAAATAAATTTAACCATAAAA